TGTTGACTCTTAAAAATAGAACACACAGAATTATCTAGTCCAGATATAACTGAGGTATGTATTAACAGCTAGAGCTGACTAATTTAGGAACAGTTACAAGTATGCTGTGAAAAGGCATTCCTAGTCATCACTAAGGGCATCCAGGTGCAAGATAAAATACCCATATTGATTCAAGGGTTTTTTTGTTTTTGTTTTGCTATATCATCCCAAACAGGCTAAAACCAGAGTCAGTCTTTCTGCCAGGAACGCTTCCAACTTGCCTACATTGAGCTTCAGTGTTTTAGCCCTCAGCCAGCCAATTACTTCTTTCTGGCACCAAATGAAAAGATCACCTGCTTCCTAGGTATTAATGTGAGAAGGAGAAAGACAGCTATGTGTATTGATGACAGTACACTCTACATTCGAGGATATAACAGTCATGTATCCCCAGTCCAGGCATAATTGTAGTATGGAATTGCTCTATGAGAAACGATTGATAAACTTATCTGAAGATGTTGTATTATAAATGAAAACTGAATTCTGAAATGTTTTGTAATAGAAATAGGACTATATGGCTGAAGGGGATCTTTTGGTCATATATATGACCATCAGTAGAGTCTCGGGGGATCTTTTGGGTCAGAGAATGAAGCATTTATTGAGGTCCTGAAACAAAAGTTTTCTGTTCAGAAGGAAGAGGCTTTGTGAGATTGAGAATGACAGTACCTCTTAAATATTTGCCACAGTAAATCTACATGTACTACTTCACTAGCTAGTTAAGGATAAGAATGTATGCCACGTATAGCAAATTGCAGTCTTTCCCCCCCTAATACTCTTTCCTTGGATAGATGGGAAACTGACACATTTCATTCCTGAGTTACAGAACAATCCTAAATGCAATGGGGGTATAGTCACATATCTTTTACTACTTCCCGAGCCAGCATGGTGCACTGGTTTGAGTGCTGGATTATGACTCTAGAGACTAGGGTTTGATTCCCAGCTGGGCCATCAAACCCACTGGGTGACCTTGGGCAGGTCACATGCTCTCAGCCTCAGGGGAAGACCACGGCAAACCTCCTCTGAACAAATCTTGCCAAGAAAACCCTGTGATAGGGTCACCATAAGTCGGAAGTGGCTTGAAGGCACACAATAACAACAACAAGCTCTGCTGAATCAGAGTGGCAATGCAAGGCAGTTTGCTTTTGTAATTTTTTCACTCCCTTTGGTTTAGCGTATCTAAAGGAGTCTCTCCCACATTGGCAGAGCTGCCTCCTTTGTAGCGTGCTGCTTATGGTGTATTCACACTTACGGAGCTTTCTATGAAAGTTTTTTAATGTTCACATCTCTCCTTTCTCTCAGAGGAGTTTGTTTCTTTCAGGAGGGATGCTTCACTATCCCCATTCTGCCATTTCTCTGACAGCTGTCCAAGGAGACTGGGGTTGTTCTACTCAAGGTAATGTATGACGCAGGTACATTCCTTTTACAAATAGTATTAGTGGCCCACTTTTTATTACTTCCTCTAAGATTGTACAACTGCAAAATAATAGAAGAACTAAAAATGGAACATATTAAACTGGTTTTTTTTATCTTCTTTCACCTTCCAAATCTCCCTAGTTTTTGTAATGATGAGTGAATAAATCTGGTTTGATTGCATTTACACCCTGTTGGCACAAATATTAAGCTGTTTTAACATGTTGAGTTATATAAAGTGTTTGTAACTAGTTTAAATTAATCATAGATTTTAACCTGGAGTTCTTTAATTGTTTATATTGTTTTATCTGCTTGTCACCCTGAAATCTCAAAATAAAAGGGCAGTATAAAAGTGTGTGTGTGTGTGTATTATGTGCCTTCAAGTCCTTTCCAACTTATGGCAACCATAAGGCAAGTCTATCACAGAGTTTTCTTGGCAAGTTTCTTCAAAGGGGGGTTTGCAATTGCCATCCTCTGAGTCTGAGAATTTGTGACATGCCCAAGGTCAAAGTATAGTAATAAATTTAGTAAAATAAATAAATATAACAATTACAGAAGATGGAGGCCTGAAATCTGTCTTGACTATTTTTTCTTCACCATGCAGCATTTGTTCCTTGCATTTCTCTTACTTGACAAAAATGTGTCAGTTTCACTTGTATTAATAGACAGTTTCACTTTCAGATTACCAAAATACAGTAGTTGACTTCCAAGCATTGCTTGTTTGTTTTTTTAAAACAGCTGTTTCCTCTTGAGTTCACTTGAAACAAAATGCTACATAATGATCTATTTGTTATTATTTGCACACACATATTTAATTGTAATGAAAAGAAGGCAAAACTTAATCTGACAACTTCCCTTTAAAACTTGCATTTAAAAAAAAAACTATAGTACTGATAGGACACATATTGCTTTCTGGAAGAACAAGACAAAGGTTGCAGAAAGCTTTACTCTCAGCTGTTCAAATACAGCCAATTAAAGTTCAAAACACACTGCAGAAATAATCCAGTTTCAGACTGCTTTAACTGCCTTGGCTCAGTGCTAGGCAATCCTGGGATGTCTCCCAAAACTGCAGTTCCCAGAATCCCCTAGCTTTGAGCCAGGGTGGTTCAGTCTCAAACTGGATTATTTCTGCAGTGTCTTGGACCAAAAACAACTTTTCTGCTTGGTGTGATTACAAAAAAAAGTGTATACAATGCATAGCAAAATTCCCATTTATATTCAGGTATCACTACAGGAATTTATACTTATGCGAAGCAAAGAGTCATCCCTGTACAAAATCTGCCCAAATAATTAGGAATGTTGTTATGCTCGTTCCCAGGATTAAAGACCAAGTAGATTAAAGAAGTTTCTGCTGACAATAAAGTGAACGCTCCGCATCTAAGTAAAGCATCATTCCTATCCCATGGAATGCATAGTCTGTATCAGATTAGATTTTAGTACTCATCTAGTATGTAGCTTCACACAGAAAACCTCATGGCCTAATTGGCTGCTGTAAACATCTGCTGTAATTCTTTCTTTCACCAATGCCTCATTCAGCACTTTTTTGTTTTGTTTCAGAGTTTAGCTGATAGCTAATTAGATGTTAGGAGCCAGTGTGGCATAGTGACTTGAGTGTTGGACTATAAGACTCTGGAGATCAGGGTTCAAATCATGGCTTGGCCATGTAAACCCACTAGGTGACCATGGGCAAGTCACTCTCTCTCAGCCTCAGAGGATGGCAAAGGCAAACCCCTCTGAAGAAACTTGCCAAGAAAACCCTATGATAGGGTTGCCCTAGGGTCACCATAACTTGGAAACGACTTGAAGGCACACAACAACAGCAACAACATTAGATGCTACCTGATTAAATGATGACAAGCAGGGCTGAGAAATCATATGATCCACCAGACTTTGCTGGGACTGTAATTCCCATCAATACTAACCAATAAGCTAATGGCAACAGCCAGAGCGGTGTAGTGGTTTGAGTGTTGGATTCAGGTGCTGGGAAACCAGAGTTCAAATCCCTGTTCAGCCATGGAAACCCATTGGGTGACCATGGGCAAGTCACACTCTCTCAGCCTCAGAGGAAGGCAATGGCAAACCCCCTTTGAACAAATCTTCCCAAGAAAACACCGTGGTTAGTTCATGTTAGAGTGTTCCATAAGCTGGAAATGACATGAAGGCACACAACAACAACAAAAGTTAATGATGAGTAATACTAAGAATGGTATTCCAATAATTTCAGGAGTCTCATGATTTCCATCCCTGCTCAAAGAAGAGGCATCACCTGCCTGCGCTTTACTTTTTATAGGTATTACAACACTGGTAATGGAGACTAAAAATTCAGGTTTGTCTACCTCAAATATGAAAACCAACGTGACATAGTGGTTTGATTGTTGGACTATGACTCTGGATACCAGGGTTGATTCCCAGCTCAGCCGTGGATACCCACTAGGCAAGTCATGCTCTCTCAGCCTCAAGGGAAGGCAATGCCAAACCTCTTCTGAACCAATCTTCCCAAGGAAACCCCATGATAGGTTTGCCTTAAGCTCACCATAAGTTGGAAATGACTTGAAGGCACGCAGCAACAACTACCTCAAATGGAAAATTTACTGATCCACACCAGCATCCTTTCTTTAAATGATTTTTTTAAAAATGTTCTGAATCAATTAGTTTGCCAATACTTCTCTCTCTCTGATCTATCTTTGCATATCCCAGAAACTTGAGGCTACGCAAAGGAAGAGACAGGGATAAGGTTCTCAAAGATTGGAGGATTTATAATTTTCTAGATGTTGGACAACTAATCCCATCACTCTCTAAACATTGTCAACACTGGATAGGGGACATGGAAATCAAGGTTTAGCATCTGAAGGGCCACTGGTTCCCCACTTCAGTTCTATAACATAACTTTTTGTCAACCTGGTATCTCCAGACGTTTTGAAGCACAACCCTCACCATCCCCAGCGAACATGAACACTAACTGCAATGGTGGGAGTTGTAGTCCAATATCATCGGAGGGGGGCGAGGTTGGGGAAGGAAAAGAATAAATAAATTGCCTAGCGACAATGGATATGTTTGGTTCTTCCTAAATACTAATGGTCTGAATTCAAAGAAATAGCTGTGTTAATCTGAAAAATCATTATGCAAAGGATCTTGCAACACTTTTGAGACTGAAAAAAAAAGCGGTTGGTAGCATGAGACTTGAGCCTAATTCCTCAGATGCTAATGGACTGGGAGTTGATCTGATTACCTTTCAGCAGAGTATATACTTTATGTTTCTTGTCTATAAGTAATTCACTTTGAGGTTGGCAGGCCTGTGCAGCTTATTGGTTTGAGTGTTGGACCATAACTCTGGAAAAAAAAAACCACTGGGTAAACTTGGGCAAGTCACACTCTCTCAGCCTCAGGGGAAGGCAATGGCAAACCTCCTCTGAAGAATCTTGCCAAGAAAACCCTATAATAGGTTCGCCATAGGGTCTCAACAAGTAAAAAATGACTTGGAGGCACAGAACAACAACAAATAGGAAACATACAGGAGCTTGATTATATGGCGGATGTATATTCTGTATTGGAGAGCCAGTGTGGCGTAGTGCTTTGAGTGTTGGACTATGACTTTGGACACTAGGGTTCGATTCCCCACTCAGCCATGAAACCCACTGGGTGACCTTGTGCAAGTCACACTCTCTCAGCCTCAGAGGAAGGCAATGACAAACCTCCTCTGAAGAAGCTTGCCAAGAAAATTCCCATGGTAGGTTCTCCTTAGGCTTTCCATAAGTTCAAAACAACTTGAAGGCATACAACAACAACAACAACAACACCCTACGGAAGGGGGCTTCCATGACTGAAATGGGTGCAGGACAGGCTGATATTTCAAAGGCACTTTTCTTCCCATCAGGGCAATGGAAGGCAAGGAAACACTGCACCTGCTGGATTTCAGCCTGCTATGTGTTTCAGAATGGCATATGAACAGGGTGACCAGAGGTCCTCCTTTTCCAGGGCACATCCTCCATTTCAACCATCTGTCCAGGAGGAATTCCAAAATGTCCTCCATTTTGAGCATGACTGAGAAAGAATGAATTCAAAGATACAGCCATGTTAGTCTGTGTAATCAGTATGTAGAAAGATCTTGTAACACCTTTGAGACCAACTGAAAGAAAGAAGTTGACTTAAATCAACATCCTCAGATGCTTTTGGGCTTAGGTAAGCTTAGGCAAGTTCCTTTTTTGGATGGCAAGTCCCAGAATCTATCAGCCAGAATTCTGGGATTTGTAGTTTGTTATGGCACCACAGCTGTCTGGCAGTGAAGGCTAAATATCTCACAAAACTACAAATCCCAGAATTCCATAGCATGGAGTTGTGGCAGTTAAAGTGGTGTCAAACTCCACTATTTCTGCAATGCAGATTAGACCTCAGTCTCTTACAGCACAATTCCAGTGCAAACTGAGTCCACTTTAAGGATCAGGGTTAGGGTTAGGGAATCATGGGAACTGTATTTTATTGTGGCACCAGAGATCTCTGACAGAGAAGGCTCAATGTCTCAGAAAAAAAACAAACAATTCCCATGACTCCCTAGCACTAACCCTAACCCTAAAAGTGGACTCAATTTGCACTATTTCTGGCAGTCTGTAGCATCAGTATGTAGAGAGATCTTACAGCATCTTTGCATTTAAATGCATCTCAGGAAGTAGACTGAAGCCTCCAAAAGCTTATGCTGCCAACTTCTTCCTTCCAGTTAGTCTCAAAGGTGATGCAAGATCTATCCACATACTGAGATGCATGAATTTATATTGATAGAGGGGTTTTGTTTTGTTTTTTGGGGGGGGAGGGTGCTTTTATTTGGTCCTGTCCCTAGTACATTGTTCTTGAATTGCTTTGCCCTGTCCTCTTTGGAGGCGAGGACTGAACAAGATGAACCATGACAGCAATGTGGGGAGCTTAAGACGCTTTCTAGGGGGAAGACCACAACATGTGTGAGGGGATAAAAGAATAACATTCCCCCAGTGCAACCAGAGGTGTGTGAATGGGGAGTGTGTGACAAAGCTGGAGCAGGATGAAGGCTCTTTTTCTTCTTCTTCTCCCTCATGGCCTCATCCTCCATTTTCCCGCCATTGTCCAGAAGCTCCCTTAACCCCTTCCCCTCCATCCTTTCCCACCTCCATCTCTCTTTCCCACTACAAGTTAGAATATTACAAGCCATTGTATTCAGGGTGACCAGAATTGGTCCTCCTTTCCCTGCATGTGTCCTACGTTTCAGCCTTCTGTCCAGGAGGAATTCCAAAACGGTCCTCCATTTGGAGTATGACTTAGGTCCAAAACACACACATGTAATGTGTTTTAACTATTGTAATAATTTAATTCTGTTTTAATGTACTGTTTTTGCATGTTTTTAACTGTATTTTTTGTTGTAATATTGTAAGCTGCCCTGAGTCCCAGTCCTGGGAGAAGAGTGGGTTATAAATAAATAAT